AAAACATCACTATTAAAACATATATTTAACTGTGAGTAGGTTTGAATTAAAGATTTTCAATACACAACTCAGTAGTTAACAATGTTCAATTTGATTGTACAAAGCAAGCACACACCATCGAGGAATTTCCTTTTCTTTTTGAAAAACAATAAAAACCTGCCATTTTTCATGCTCGGTAATATATTTTTTGCTTTAAACCTAACAGAGGAACAATGTGCCACTGTAACATTTTATCTTTAGTACTGAAACCTGTCTGTTGCCATGGTTCAGCAGTGATGCCTGTCTGTTGCCATGGCGACTGAGTTCAGAGAGGGAAGTGAAACATTTAAAATCCTTTTAAACTAAACTCTAAGCTTCTCCAAAATGTCTTCTCCCTCTCTCTCTCTCTCTCTCTCTCTCTCTCTCCCTCTCTCTCTCTCTCTCTCTCTCTCTGCAGTGGGTCGAGTCGTCCCCACCCTGACGGTGCTGCCCCCCTCCAGTGAGGAGCTGCAGCAAAGGGAAGAATATTATTATTTAAACAGAAGTCTCATTCTATTGTACATCTGCAATTATTTAATTAATATTAAAGCACAATGAGGGATATTTTGTATTTGGCTGTGGTCATTTTATTGAACAATTCTGACATAGGGGAGAGTGGGGTAAGTTGAGCCAAAGGGTAAGTTGAGCCACCCCTTGTTGCTAGGAAATGGTAAAAAACATTGATCATGTGACCAAATATTTAGGAGGAAGGCTTCATTTCATGGAGTCTGTGAATGTAAGAACCACATGGGTAAAGTGGTTAGATATTTATTTCCAAAAAATCATTTTTCACTCTTGAAAGTGAATTGAGTCTATCATAAGTTTCATGAGAATTGTGTTTAGACCAAAATAGATAATTTTAAATGTGTTTTATACATAAATTGTGGTATCTATGAGCTACAACATGAGCTCATAAACCTTGCATAAAAGTGCACCATTTTAGCTGTGGGGACTAATAAAGTCAAAATGGTAGCTCTGGGGTAAGTTGAGCCATTTGGCCAGGGGTAAGTTGAGCCGGTGGCTACAGCCAAAATATACTCAATAAGTGTATCCAAAAACATATTCTGTGTATATTCCAAAAACACAGCTGTTAATGTTTTCTTCCTAAGCGCACTTTAAAATACACATGAATGTGAAGAAGTGAGTGTTATTTAGGGAGGGAGAAGATGAGGGAGGGGTGGGGTGGAGGTGGGGAGGAGGGTCCGAGGAGGGAGTAGGTACACGGCTCGACTTACCCCGCTCCTATGCTCAACTTACCCCATACACGGGGTAAGTTGAGCCACAAGACCACTTTTTTGGACATGCTATATTATCCAAACAGTTATGTTTACACTCATTCTGTTTGTTTGAAGGGATTCACAACATCCTAAAATATATGCAGATATATTAGTTAGCAACAAAACTATGATTGCCTTGATGTAGTGATCCTAAATATGAAAAATGGCTCATCTTACCCCACTTTCCCCGAATGGTATAATAATGCAGGATGGATTAATGTGGGAAAATACACAGGATGTGTGTAAAATGACCTTTGGATAAATATAAGACGGTCTGAAAAACAGTAGTATAAAGGGATATGACACAGAGGGAATCATCTGCTTTAATTTTAATTTTAAAAACATTCATATTTAGTGATTTGCAAATCCTCAAGCCCAACAGCAAAATAAAATAAATGATTAAATTCTTTGAATTTGTTAAAATGAAAAAAGACACTTAGTATACTTAATGAAGTGATCAGGATCAGAAAAGTAATTGAGTATGAATTTAGTGTTTCAGCTCAACACTGGACATGTTTATTAGATTTATCAGAAGAAGAATCTCACAAAACCCTGAGAAAATAATTTAAAGGTAAATAAACAACAGCTGTATTATCAATGATATTAACCTGCCTGTTGAAAGAGTTGACATCAAACTCTGACTGTGTTTGAATCCCACTCACAAATGAGATCAAGTTTTATTGTCACATACTTAAACATACACAATACAACAAACAGTGAAATTCTTCAGCGTATAGCTCCAGAATGAGGAGATACAAGTAAAGTAAAGTAGATCAATAAAATAAAGATGAATCCAACAATAAAATATGAATGAATGTTTCTGCATTCTGCACAAAGTAAAATAGAAATATATAATGCATGCATTATAAGCAACTGCTATGTGACCTCTGACCAGCAGGGGTCACCATGCACTCTAGTGCAGTTATGGCATAGTAACATAATACAAGGCCCTCAACCCTTACAGACATGAGCACATCATTGTCTTTACTCAGATCCACAGTTTTTAAACTGTTTATTGTTATTTGTTTAAAAGTTACATATTAATTTAGTTATTTATGTTTGTGTTGTGATCCAGGATTAAGTAAAGTTCAAAGGTCATGACCAAGACAGCTTTCATTAACTTTCTCATTGGCTTCTCTTGATAATTTTACAAATCAGATAAGAACATGGGATTATAATGAGAAACAGTGAGGGAGAACGTTATTTGATTTGCTGCAAGATTATTTTTTGTCACTGAACTTGTTTTAATACATGTTCACTGGTAGTGTGTGTGTGTGTGTGTGTGTGTGTGTGTGTGTGTGTGTGTGTGTGTGTGTGTGTCCTCAGTGAAGTGTATCAGTCTCTGCAGTAGCTTCCAGCTGCAGCAGTCAGTTCAGTTTCTGTTCAGTCTGACTGAGGGAGGTTTTTGTACGACGCTTTTTCACTGTGTGAACACATTCTGACTGAGAGAATGAAAACTCTGACAGTAGTAAACTGCTGCATCTTCAGTCTGGACTCCACTGATGGTCAGAGTGAAGTCAGAGTTTGATCCACTGCCTGTAAAACGACCTGGAATCCCTGATGCTCGATATGTTGCCCTTTCGATAAGCAGTTTAGGAGTTTCTCCATCTCTCTGTTGGTACCAGGCTAAATAGTGGTTGCCCCCATAAGTATAGACATTCTGACTGGTCCTACATGTGATGGTGACGGAGCATCCCAGAGCAGAGCTCACTGCTCCAGACTGAGTCACTGTGACCTGGCCTCTGGACTCTGAGGATACAGAGACAAAAACATAAAGCAGCGTCATGGTTTTGTGGGCTTCATTTCAGAGGGACGGATGTTCATAGAGGAGAGGAGTTTGATTCTCTGGACTTTACCTGTGAAGCAGCAGCAGAGGAGAGTCCAGATGAGGACGGAGATCAAAGTCATGTTTTTGATGAGGAGGATTTCTGTGTCTTCTGTTGTCATGAAGGACAGCTGTCAGTCATCCAGTGTTCAACTCTCAGGACTATAAACTCTCCCAGAGCACTGGAGCATGGTGCTGCTGATGCAAAGTGGCTCTCTATGGAAATGCTCTGACTGACTCCAACAGGGACTTGGATTCCTCTCATGATGCTGTTTATCAATGGATCAATCACTTTATCAGAGTATTGATTAGGAATGTGTCAGTGCTCATTTGTATGAGGCTTTGCTTTCAGTTTGATGGACACATTTTCTTCCAGAATATTTAGTGAATTCCCCCTAATTCACTACCACACAGATCAACATCACTGTGGGACACATTTAAACAAATATTTTATTTTCATTTTATATTCATCATAATCTACAATAAACATGTGTTTATGATAACTATTTATCAGCATTTATTAGAGTGTGTTTCTATATCAATATCTTATTTTCACGTTGTTTTACTGAAAGAGAAATAATATTGGTTGTAGACTGACATTTCACAAAAACATAGTTAAATACACATTCATACTTATTATTAATTTATTAATTTATTTTAAATACTAAACTGGGTAATCTGGGAATGTGTTTGCTGAGTTTGTTTGTGTCAAAGTCAGAGAGCCGTGTCTCTCTACAGTGAGAGGTTTTTGTACGGCGGCTCAATGAGTTTGTATCACTGTGGTGGACTTTTGGTGGAGGAACCAGACTGGAAGTTAACTGTAAGTACATTTGACTCCTTTAACAACAAATATTTTGTATGTATTATGTTTGAATCTCATAGCTGTTAACTTTAAAGGAATATTTTGCCTAATATTTGAAATCTAATGTGTTTCTAACAATTCATAAAGGCTTCAGAGTGTCATTAACCAGACTACAATCCACTCCAATTGATAATGTTTTGCATTAAAGCTTTAATTTTCTACATTCTTATCAGTTAATTGTATAAAACTACTCAGCAATACTCTGTAAGGAGAGAAAGTCTTTAAGTTTAAGTTTTACTATTTTGGATCAAGAACTTTTTTTGTTCAGTGTTTAATGTGTATGGGTAATACTCCCAGAGTAACCATATGAAAGCCATTCCATATTTTTTATTATGAGAATGTCATGAGTTTGAAGGAGTTCAGTAGTTAACTAAGTTAAATTGAATGTTTCTGACTGTTCAATGATGATTCCTGCTTACATGAAGAGAACAAACAACAATCATCATTTATCAGGTTTTAAAATATCAATATTTAAAACATTAACAGTCTCACAATCTTTGACTTTTTACTTTATTATTTAAAAACTATACACTGGACTAAAAGTGCGCCAGTTTTAACTTTTTAACTTTAGTACTGAAACCTGTCTGTTGTCATGGTTCAGCAGTGATGCCTGCCTGTTGCCATGGTTACTGAGCTCAGAGAGGGAACTGAAACGTTTAAGACCAGTTTCATTCAGTCTGAAGAAGACCATCAGAACTAGAATCCTCCTCTGCTGCAACCAACAGGATGGAGTTCAGTTTACCTCATATAAACTTTATTAATCTCTCTCTCTGCAGTGGGTCGAGTCGTCCCCACCCTGACGGTGCTGCCCCCCTCCAGTGAGGAGCTGCAGCAGGGGAAGGCCACGCTCATGTGTCTGGCCAACAAGGGCTTCCCCTCAGACTGGAGTCTGTCCTGGAAGGTGGACGGCAGCAGCAGCAGCAGCAGCTGGGAGGAGAGCAGGAGCCCCGGGGTGCTGAAGGACGGCCACTACAGCTGGAGCAGCACCCTGAGGCTCTCTGCAGACCACTGGAGGAAGGTGGGCTCTGTGACCTGTGAGGCCACCCAGGGCTCCCAGACTCCGCTCTCAGAGACACTGAGGAGAGACCAGTGTTCCCAGTTCTGACTTGACTCACTGGGACTCTGATACTGGTTTTACTCTGCTACTGCTCTCAGTCTGCACTCGCTCATTATCTGTCTAAATCTTTCTTTACCTCCTCCCACTCTCTGATTACATGTTTCATTGAATACATTTGTTATTTTGATTATTTCAACACAATAAAGACAAGTTCATCAAATCAGTTGTTGTCATGTGTGTTACTGTAAACTGATGTTGCTGTCTTAAAAGTTCTATTAAATCCACAAACATTGAATTCAATTTTAGGTAATGTCCTGAGAAAGACTACAACGTAGAAATGTTTAATATCTGTTCTCGATATTTAGAAAACATAAAAGTAATGCGATAATCCTTAATGAGAAGTTATTGTGACAGAGACATTATTAAAGTAATTTTATCCTTTACTCCAGATTCTTTAAAGCATTTGTGATTACATAAACTTCCTTATTACATTAATCATGAATTTATTTTTTAGGAACAAAGCTGATCGATAAAATATTAAGGAAGATGTTGTATTTGTCTTATTAATGAAGTGTGTCATTGGTAGAAACTTTAATATTAAAATGGTTTCACAAGTTTACAGAAAGTAAAATGAATCTGATGAAACTGCAAACTCTGGGAAGAAAGCATTGTATTTGAAAGATAAAATTGGATATTATCAACATATTATATCATCACAGGATCACTATCAGCAGTTTGTATTCAAATCATAACATAAATTGCGTATTTTCATATAAACACAAGGTCATTCAAATTATGTAGTGTATGTAAGTTTGTTGAAAACTAAACTGGCTTAAATATGAATTTCAAATTAAATTTGAATACTAAGAAATTTGACTATTTCAGACATTTTGACTGATCAAAGCAGGTAAAGCACAGGTGTAATAATAACATTACAGGTTTTTTTTTCAATTGCTGACATCTTTTTGCCCAATCTGTAGTCACATTTCCAAAACTCTAAACACAGTTAGCCCCACATTGGTCTGTTCATCCCATACAATTAACACAATTCATGTTGTTTCCACAGAATATGCAGTCAATTGACCCATTTCTACAATGCTAGGTTTTTCTTTACGTACAAGCTCACCCAAAACCAAAACTATGGATGTTTTTTGTGTTATTTACAAATGCTTACACACAACATGTCAGAAATAAAGACCTTATGATCAAAACCTTAAGTATTCCATGAAGCCTCTACTTCTGCAACAAAAGAAGTTCAAAATATATATTGAAACAGCTGATAAGCATTTATTACAGTTTTTTCTAATTTTGCAAACTAGGCTGGTTTTATCAAAATACTAAACACTTTTCCCAAAACCACACACCCAAACTGCAAAATCCCTCATATATCCTGCAAAATGAAGCACTGCAACCAAAACTACATATAGCATTATCAAAATCAAACTTTGCACCAAATGGCACACACTTCATTCATATTACCAGATGTTTGTCTAACCAACTACACACTGTTGGGCATAATGAAAAGCACTCTCATCTTCAGTATGCTTTGACATAATACTAAAATAGTTCAAACTGTAGAAAATTATTCAGATTGTTCACATGCACAGAACTATTTGCAGATACACACACACACACACACACACACACACACACACAAACACACACACACACACACACACACACACACACACACTCTGTTGAAACATTTATTTTTTTATTTTTAACCAAACAAGTCAGTGCAACATATGCACTAACAATTAACCATTGAGGTGTTTGGCCAGGTGGCACATATATTGGCCAATTAGCTCATGTAGTGTCATTTTGATTGGCAGTGTTTTGAAATGGCAAACATGTGACTTTATGTCAGATTGTTGTGTCTTATGCAGAGAACCGTGTTCAGTGCATTTAAAAATGTGTGTAAAGCAGAAAATGTGTTTAGAGTTTTGGAGACTTGAGAAGAGATTTTGCTCTCTGTGTGTCACTTTAAATAATTGTGCTATGCATGTCATTTTAGTGTGTTAGCAATTGGAAAAAAAAAACGTAATAAACATATCAATGAAACATTGAGAAATAGCTGATTTTTTGTAATTTGGGTAAAATAGATCAACCACAGCTAATTCCAATCTCAATCAGAGACATAGCCAGGTGTGGAAGTTCTTTCACTGACATACACAATGCAGTATAAAGGGGACTTTCTGGACTGAGTTTATTCAATGTGGATACAGAGCAACACAGATGAGAAGAGAAAGAAATAATAATGTCTGGATAAGGAAGACGAATAGTTGGGCTAGGGAGAGGAAGAGGGCCAGAGATGGATAAGGCATGCCAAGCGTTTCTATCCAAGGTGCATAGCGAGAGATGACATTAGATGTGATGAGGATGAGAACATGCGCCAGATGCTGAAGATCGTATGGATTAGAACAGGACTGTGCATTTTTGTTTCTTTCCCATCTGTGCCTCTTTTTTGTTGTCAAAGTGTGTATCTGACAGTATTTTGACACATTTTGAACCAAAGGACACATAGTTTGGATTATTTGTTGATCACTGGCTGCAATTTCATGTTGATAATATTGTAAAGCTTTAACTTCTGCAATTTTGTCGCTTACAATTTTTTTCTACTGTACATTCTATAAAGTAAAGATGACTCATTCACTTTTGCGTAGTTTGTTGCCAAAAATGTACACATTTGACCTTCAAGCCAAAAATGTAGGGTGGTTTACAGTAAAATGAAACTGAATTAAAAAAAACAATGGATTTCTCATTGTCTACTGTTTGCAGGTAGAGCATGAAAAGTTATGGAGTTTTTGTAATGCTATCAACTGTTTGTATTTAGAAAGTTGTTGTGCTATGATTGATTGATCTGTTCCTCTTGGAAAGAAAACATGCTAGTGTTTTAACAGAATGATTTGATTTTGAGTCAGGTTTGCTGTGTTTTGATAGAGTTTGTGTATATAGAGAATGTTTTTTGCATTTTGAAATGTAGAGTTGGTGTTTAAAGAACGAAATGTGGTTTTGAGCAGAAAATGTACTATTTGGCTAAAAGTGTGAGGTAGGTGTGTTGCTGTGTTAAGAGTTTCGATAAAGTCTCTTAAGTTTAGGTAAACGCTTGTTAGCAATTGAAGAAAACTGTAACACTGGCTCTGTTTCATTCAGTGTCCCAGTAAGGCCTTTCAGTGAGTGAGCATGCACAGAACCAGAGCTCTGAGACTGGTTCACCTAAATGTAATGCAGCCATCATTAATGTAATAAATACACCTGTGCTTTTCCTGCTTTGGCAAGTCAAAATGTCTGCCATGAAAAGTGTCTATTCCCTCTATCAGTTCAGAACCATATACAGGTTCATTTCCACTGTTCTCCTGCAGACTGTTTAGTGTGTGTGTGTGTGTGTGTGTGTGTGTGTGTGTGTGTGTGTGTGTGTGTGTGTGTCCTCAGTGAAGTGTATCAGTCTCTGCAGTAGCTTCCAGCTGCAGCAGTCAGTTCAGTTTCTGTTCAGTCTGACTGGGGGAGGTTTTTGTACGACGCTTTTTCACTGTGTGAACACTCTCTGACTGTTGATATAGTGATAACTCTGACAGTAGTAAACTGCTGCATCTTCAGTCTGGACTCCACTGATGGTCAGAGTGAAGTCAGAGTTTGATCCACTGCCTGTAAAACGACCTGGAATCCCTGATGCTCGAGTGCTAGTTGTATAAATGAGGAGTTTAGGAGTTTCTCCATCTCTCTGTTGGTACCAGGCTAAATAGCTCCCACCATAAACATTCTGACTGGTCCTACATGTGATGGTGACGGAGCCTCCTAGAGCAGAGCTCACTGCTCCAGACTGAGTCACTGTGACCTGGCCTCTGGACTCTGAGGATACAGAGACATAAACATAAAGCAGCGTCATGGTTTTGTGGGCTTCATTTCAGAGGGACGGATGTTCATAGAGGAGAGGAGTTTGATTCTCTGGACTTTACCTGTGAAGCAGCAGCAGAGGAGAGTCCAGATGAGGACGGAGATCAAAGTCATGTTTTTGATGAGGAGGATTTCTGTGTCTTCTGTTGTCATGAAGGACAGCTGTCAGTCATCCAGTGTTCAACTCTCAGGACTATAAACTCTCCCAGAGCACTGGAGCATGGTGCTGCTGATGCAAAGTGGCTCTCTATGGAAATGTATGAGAGACCATGTTCTCAGTACTGACCGGACTCACTGGGACTCTGCTTCTGTTTTTACCGTGCTACAGCTTTAAATCTGCACTTTCTATCATTCCACCACTTTAACAGAATTGAACTTCAGATTATGACATCTTTATTGTTCCAATAATGCCAATGCTGTTAATGCTGTAAGCCAATAAAGATATTTTCTTTATTTAGATCAAATGTTTCTTTCATGGATCCCTGTACACTAACAACAGATGTCTAATTCCATATTTTCACATGTGCAGGATTATAACCAATGGCAGAATAAGATTTTGTCAGCATAGTTGATACTTAATACAATCTAAAAAATGTAGCATGAGTGAATAATGTGCATACAGCCTGTTTCATCAGGTTTCCCCAAACTGGACACTTTTTCATGTCTGTGTGAGAAAGACATGAAACAACTTTGTTCACACACATTTAAAAAATACTTTTTCCATCAGAGTCAGTTTTAAAAAACTTCCTGAGCTCAAGGAGACACTCAGAAGTGTGGGGGAACGTATTTTCATTTGGACGGGGCTGACCTGGACACGTGTATGTGCACAACAACTTATGTGGATGTTCATATAATGTTTAGAAAAAACAACTGACATATGTTGGAAACTTTTTCTAGTTAAATCTAGACAGCTAAATCTCTCTCAAACATGTGATTGATGATATTTAACCTCATCTGCTAAAGACTTGGTCAAACCTGCAAAACTGGAATGAAAAGAAATCTAAAATATACAGGCTGAACATGCATGCTACTGCTCTCCGTCTGCACTCTCTCATTACCTGTCTTAATCTTTCTTTACCTCTTCTTACTCTCTGATTACATGTTTCATTGATTCAATTTTTTATTTTGATTATTTCAACACAATAAAGACCAGTTCATCAAATCAGTTGTTGTCATGTATGTTACTGTAAACTGATGTTGCTGTCTTAATAGTTCCATTAAATCCAGAAAAACTGAAAAAAGTTGAGATCGAGTTTCAAAAATCTTAGGTAAAGTTTAGGAAAAGAATAAAATGTAGAACAAAAATTTTAATATCTCTCCTCATTCTTCAGAAAAAATAAAACTAATCAGATAATCATTTATCAGTTCTAATTGTGACCCAACATCATCAATGTAAACTAATAATTTTCTTCAAATTCCTTCAAGCATTTGTGACGACATGAACTTCTTCTTTACGCTAATCATGTATTATTTTTTTTGTAACAAAGTTGATCAATAAAGTTAGATCTTCAGGATCATTAGTTATAATGTATGTGTCTTATAAACAAAGTGTTCCATTGATAGAAATTTGTGTTATTTTAAAATAGATTCAGGAGTGTTCAGAAAGTAAAATGAATCTGAGTAAACTACAAAATCTAATAAGAAATCATTTGAATTATAAAATGGGATATTATCGGCATATTATGTAAGATTATTATCAGTATTTGCAGTTTGTTGGCAAAATATTACATAACTTATGTGTTTTCATATGAACACAAGGTCTTTAAAATATGTAGTGTGTTTACGTTTGTTGAAAACTAAACTCTGACTTAAATATGAATAATATGAAATTAAAAGGACATCTAAACTACTTTAAAAAACTTGAAAGTAAATTTTCTATTTCAAAGCAAATGACAAAAAGTGTTAATGTCTTGTTATCTGTAATAACTCATCTACCTTTCAACTAATCTACAATGGATGTATCAAACTTATTTCCTACTCTATTTCAACAAGGTTACCATTAGGACTTACTACGCTATACATCATATTTACTGATGGTCTTCTGTTATATGGACTTCACTGTCTGTTAAATGTCTAAAGTGTCTGTATTTCTGTGCAGCTGTTGATTCAGATCAGTTCCTCTCCAGCTGAGGGAGGTTTTTGTACGACGTTGTATCACTGTGTGAACGGGAAACTGTGACCACTCTGTAGACAATAGTAAACTCCTGCATCCTCAATCTGAACTGTACTGATGGTCAAAGTGAAGTCAGTTCCAGATCCACTCCCACTGAAACGATTTGAAACTCCAGACTGACGAGTTGTGGCATAATGAATCAAAAGTTTGGGAGATTCTCCAGGTTTCTGAAGGTACCAGTGAAGGTAGCTGCCCATACTTGAACTGGCTTTACATCTGATAGAGACAGTCTGTCCTGGAACAACAGACTGAGCTTTAGGAGACTGAGTCAGGATGATTTCTCCTGATGAATCTGGAAAACATGAAAAAGAGGAGAAGGGTTATTGAGACAAATCCAGTTTGGAGAAAGATGATCAACATCCAAACAGAAGAGTATCATTTCTTTAACATGGAGAATAGATGGAAGAAGGTAAATGCTGCTTGTTTCAGTGTTTCTCCATCATAGCAGAACATCATTGTGGTGAACCTGGTTGCATCCTGAAGCAAAGTTTTCAGAAGAGAGTCTCACCCTGAACAAGGAGCCCCAGGGTGGCCAGCAGTAGAGTCAGTGACATCCTCATTGTGCTGCCGGCGTGTCAGTGGCTCTGAAAGGTCTGGACAGCCACTAATCAACACTGGCCTCTTAACGGCTGGGAGCAGAGAGGAAGGACACATATGCAAACACACAGAGTCAGTGAACTGTAGCTGTCCTCAACATATCATGGTGTTTCCCCCTCAGTGCAGCTGTTGCTTCATTGCACACACAGAACTTCAGTGTTTCATGAAACATAGATTCAACTTAAGAACCATAATGAGTGATAATATAAGAATAATACCTTACAATAGTGATGTACATCCATATTTGGGAGTTGCATTGTTGTGTTTGAGAACTTTTCACAGAACATTTTTATCTTTTCCTCAAATACGCTACAGTCAGTTCACCCAAAGTACCTGTTATATAAATTAGTTTCTCGTTGCCCAGTGGTATCTCTCCATGAACATATGATTTAATATTCAGGATCCTGAGATTTCTGCCTCCACCCCAATAAAATGCAGGTGGAAGAAATTTCATTTGCAGAGCTTTCAGCAAAGACAAAGCATTTTAAAACTTGAGCAGCAACATGTTTTTTTCTCAAGAACTCAATGGAGGTGAATAGATGATCCAAAGAACACAGTAATACAGGAACAATTTAACTCTGTGAACAGTTTTCATAGAGAGTATTTCTTCAGAGCAGTGTGTGAACATTTCATTCACCTCCTTTGTATGAGGTTGAGAAATCTCAGTGACGTTTCAAAACCTGGACTAATAAATCATACTGCTGCCTTTTTCATTAAGGAAACTAATGAACAACCTTGATTTTTCCCCCAATAATTGTCAGATTTTTGTGTCTTTATTATGCTGTTACCTGTGGTGGATTAAGTCGGTCATGGGCCCCGAGTCTATGCTTTGTGTGGGCCCCTCCATGGCTATCATGGGATGTGTAGCAATAGTTTGGGTGATTTTCTATTATTTCTGTGAGTGAATCAGGCAAGAAAACACATTGACAATCTATCATAAACAATATAAATGATATATTAAATGATCTAATTGTGATAAATAATGAAATATACATACCATGTCTGCTAAACAATTGACCTTTTCTGTCCCGCTCCCAATTCCCACTGTCCCCCTGCCCCATGAGCTGTTGAACCACATTATGAGCTGTTGAGTCTTGTTACTGAAACATATTACCCCACTGTTACCATCTTAATGATCAGTTACAGTGTACAGTATTACTTATTGAGGTCAGTCATGAGCCACACAGAGCCATATCTCACTAACAGTCACAGTCTGGTTCATTGTCTCTTTAATGAGTAAAATGTGATCATATCCTAATGTGGTCTGAACTGATGTTGAGAAACTGTGATGTTAAACTTGATATTAATAGATTTAATTGCGCACTAGGTCTTTATAATAAAACTGTTTGTGTAGGACCAATAATTATTTGTTATTTCTTATTTTTTTTAATGATTATCCCAGTGTGTGTGCGTGTGTGTGTGTGTGTGTGTGTGTCCTCAGTGAAGTGTATCAGTCTCTGCAGTAGCTTCCAGCTGCAGCAGTCAGTTCAGTTTCTGTTCAGTCTGACTGAGGGAGGTTTTTTGTACGACGCTTTTTCACTGTGTGAACAACCACTGACTGTTGATAAGATGAGCACTCTGACAGTAGTAAACTGCTGCATCTTCAGTCTGGACTCCACTGATGGTCAGTGTGAAGTCAGAGTTTGATCCACTGCCTGTAAAACGACCTGGAATCCCTGATGCTCGACTGCTAGTTACATAAATGAGCAGTTTAGGAGTTTCTCCATCTCTCTGTTGGTACCAGGCTAAATAGTGGTTGCCCCCACTAGTAAAGACATTCTGACTGGTCCTACATGTGATGGTGACGGAGCGTCCCAGAGCAGAGCTCACTGCTCCAGACTGAGTCACTGTGACCTGGCCTCTGGACTCTGAGGATACAGAGACAAAAACATAAAGCAGCATCATGGTTTTGTGGGCTTCATTTCAGAGGGACGGATGTTCATAGAGGAGAGGAGTTTGATTCTCTGGACTTTACCTGTGAAGCAGCAGCAGAGGAGAGTCCAGATGAGGACGGAGATCAAAGTCATTTTTTTGATGAGGAGGATTTCTGTGTCTTCTGTTGTCATGAAGGACAGCTGTCAGTCATCCAGTGTTCAACTCTCAGGACTATAAACTCTCCCAGAGCACTGGAGCATGGTGCTGCTGATGCAAAGTGGCTCTCTATGGAAATGCTCTGACTGACTCCAACAGGGACTTGGATTCCTCTCATGATGCTGTTTATCAATGGATCAATCACTTTATCAGAGTATTGATTAGGAATGTGTCAGTGCTCATTTGTATAAGGCTTTGGTTTCAGTTTGATGGACACATTTTCTTCTAGAATATTTAGTGAATTCCCCCTAATTCACTACCACAGAGATCAACATCACTGTGGGACACATTTAAACAAAATTATTATGTCTCATTAGTCATAATCTACAATAAACATGTGTTTATGATCTTTATTACATTTGTCATTCTTTATTGGAGAGTTGTTCTTTTGAAATATCTTATTTCATTGTTTTAATGTAACATGAATTAATACAGCTTATTTCACAAAAAGATTAAATATATATTCATAGTTTATGTTTTAGACACTTTAACCAGTTATTAGATAAACTGGGTAAACTGGGAATGTGTTTGCTGAGTTTGTTTGTGTCAAAATCAGAGAGCCGTGTCTCTCTACAGTGAGAGGTTTTTGTACGGCGGCTCAATGACTTTGTATCACTGTGGTACACGTTCGGTGGAGGAACCAGACTGGATGTTGGAAGTAAGTCAAATCTTTATATTTTTTATCATTTCAGGACATATTTGTCTTTTTATATATATTTCAGGAAGAATTCTTGATTTTTCATATTAATGTATATCTTCTGCAGAAATACTTTACACTCAGAGACATATTTTGCATCAGGAATATAAATTCAAAACCTGATTGAAGTGAATTTAAAATATCAAGACAGAATATGACTTGATATGTATATGAATGGTAAAGTTTCATCTTGAGGGCTTGTAGGTTTAGTTCAGTGTGTCAAAGTCAGAGAGCCGTGTCTCTCTACAGTGAGAGGTTTTTGTACGGCGGCTCAATGAGTTTGTATCACTGTGGTTGACTTTGGTGGAGGAACCAGACTGGATGTTGGAAGTAAGTTTCTGTACAAATACTAAATACAATATTGTAAAGTAATGTTTTAAATTCAGTTTTTAAATGTCTGAAGTAGACAGGTATAGTTTGTTTTAATATTAACACTTGAAGTATTCATGTTTGTACTTGTCCTCCTTCATCATGGAGGCTAACTCTTTGTTCTTTACACATTCCTGTCAAACTGAAATTCAAACAGCTTGAAGTGCAGAAAAGATAAAACTGCAAACCTTTTTGTACAAATGTTTCATTTTTAAGATTCACTTTTACTTTTCTATGTCAGAAATAAATATTTTTAAATGAATTAAGATAAAATTTTATAGTCAAATTGAACGTAGTGAAGATAAAGATGAGTAAACGTTCAAAATATCTTCATAGTGTTATATATTGTTTTAAAGTTACAGTTTGGTAATGATGATTGAAATTCATATGAAGAACATTTGATTGTAGTCAGTTCATTTTCTGTGTTTGTTCATGTTTCCACTAAATACTTTAAAGTAATGTATAGTTCAGGTTTTGGATGATTTTGATGATACAGTTTTTGATATTTTATTTCCAGTGTAGTTTGATATATTTCAGCTCATTCTGTATGATGATTCTCTCTGTGCTGATATGCATGAGAGGCTTCTTAAAGGGAAGTGAAACAATGTGTGAGTGAGTGACTGGTGGAGCAGAAAAACCATCTGACAGAAACTCCTTAAAGGAGAAAATCAACTCTCACACAGTAAAGGTGTCCAAGTGTCTGCTGCTTGATTGACAGCTGTGTGGTCCCTGTCCTCTAAGCTGATTGGTGTCTCCTAGGTGATGTCCGTCCCACCCTGACGGTGCTGCCCCCCTCCAGTGAGGAGCTGCAGCAGGGGAAGGCCACGCTCATGTGTCTGGCCAACAAGGGCTTCCCCTCAGACTGGAGTCTGTCCTGGAAGGTGGACGGCAGCAGCAGCAGCAGCAGCAGCATCAGCTGGGAGGAGAGCAGGAGCCCCGGGGTGCTGAAGGACGGCCACTACAGCTGGAGCAGCACCCTGAGGCTCTCTGCAGACCACTGGAGGAAGGTGGGCTCTGTGACCTGTGAGGCCACCCAGGGCTCCCAGACTCCGTTCTCAGAGACACTGAGGAGAGACCAGTGTTCCCAGTTCTGACCTGACTCACTGGGACTCTGATACTGGCTTTACTCTGCTACTGCTCTCTGCCTTTTTCTTTTTCTCATTACATATTTGAACAATAATGTGTTTTCAGCTCAATAATATTCATATGAGACAGTACAACTTCACCAAAGGACTCGACATGAAAAGTCAGCAGAATTAACACATTGTCATCTTTCACTGCTTGCTGTAATACTGATGTTCCATTAAAGAATAAAAAATATATTAATCCAATCAAATTTGTCAGTTTATCATTAAATACTGTATATTAATATTTGTATATATTGCTGTGAAAAACAGTGGATCCTTTTATTCCAAACACACTGAGTTGTCTCAGGGTCAGATAGTTGGATTTTAACATATCAGGTGATGATGTTAGAAATATTGCTCAGTGTCCTACTCTGTACTGAACTGTGCTGTATCACATCATTTTTTTGATGATTTAATTAACAAAAGGAGATTCAAATTGTTTTGAGATTCATAAACTTTGTTAACAATAAAAGTCAATTTATAAAAACAGTTCATTTTATTCCCTGTAGAGCAGAAATTATTTCATAATTTTCTGCTATGAGTTTGACAAAAGTAACTTTGTTTTTTTCAAAGCAAATGTGGAAATATGTTGATATATTTATATCACGTAGGTCACTTTTGTCTTGTCATGTCTCCAGTTAATCTTTATTTTATTGATTTATTTTAATACTTTATTATTTGAAATTTGAGGGATGTACAGGTTTCGTTTGGTCCAT